CCCCAAAACCCCAAAACCCCAAAACCCCGTGATAATGAATACATCAAATATTTGTAATTTCATGCTTATTGACTTAGTAATTAAAATAGTAAAATAATTATTGGAAGATCAATAAAACATGCAAATTGAAGACTCTCTATTCATAATGCAAAGATCAAGTGTTACCCCTAAGATTTAATATGCGCCTAATCTAGGTATTTACTATTGCATATTATACCAATTATTATCTTTAGATAAAATAAAAAAGACTCCTAAATAGAGAGATAGTGAAGGATAATCACTTTTCGACAAACTTTCATAGATGATAAGAGATACTCAGCCGCAGCCTAGAAGGAAATCTCAAATTACTTAATAATCTATAAAAATGCAGGCATATGAAAACTAATATCCTGATGCTTCTCCTTAGTAAGAGGGCTTTAAAGATAAATACGACTGAATGTATCAGGATTATCAAAAGAACTATTAGAATTAAAAACATAATCAAACTTTAGATGTAGATATGGGAATTAATACTCGCAAGTAATACATAGGTAATTAAGTCATCGAAACTCAAAATATTACCATTCAAGTAAGTGTCTATATGCATCTTAGTTTTTATGGTCAGCATAATTCTCCTATCTCTTTATCATTTATTAAAATCATATCTTTAGTAATCGTAGAAAAAAACTTATTCACTAAATAACAGTGGAGGGCCAAATAATCACCAAGAATAGTATGAATATTAAGTTTCATAACCCTAGAATACTTAGAAAATCTAGTAGAGTCCTGTAAATTACTAAAACTTGTACCAAGTTCATTAGCAATTAAATAAGAAATTGATAAGTTAACTGGATGCTAGTTCAAATAATTAGCAAATTTAGAAGAATAATTAGCAGCAATAGTCTTACTAGAAGTAAATTAGACAGCCAAAAAGAAATTTGAATTATACCATCTAGCATGAGTCCTAAAATGATTATTTGCTTCAACCTATTGAAGATGAAGATTAAGAATATATCTTTGATCCGAATAATGAATATCGTTCTAAGTCAACATTACGTTAAAATTTACAAACCAATCTACCGCTTATTAATAAATAGCCTAAGAATCGGTATGATTAATCAGAAAGTGATTTATAGAGTATTAGAACTAGATCCTTAAAAAGTGAAAAATCTACAAAGTAAATGAAAAACTATTCTCAGCAAAATTACTTCAATAAAATGTATCTTTACAAGGGTACTCACCGTGTATCAATTACTAATTTCAAAGTTAGAGATTAGCCCATATTGGCCTAACTTCCTTTCATTATTTTCAGGATACAGAATAATATTTATATTCAGTCTAAAGCAACTTAAGACTTGATAAGAACTAATTTCCTCAATAAAAATGCAAAATTAATAATTTGCTTGCCTGAGAAACTTGCTGAAAAGTATGTGATGATGAGTGACAATAAATTTGAGAGGCTCATTGAGGAAAAGATTTCTATAACTAATAATCAGCTTATTATTGCAAGTATTAGTAAATTTGCAGGAATAGGGGAAAAATTGCAAAGAGATACCATAAGAAGTTTAAGCACTTAAGCGTAATATAAGAAAGATGACTTAATTAACCAAAAGATTAAACTTAACTATAGTCAATTAGAGTAAGATTACAATGATGAAGATGATGAGCATGATAATCCATTTAAGTCAAGATAACAAGTAAACTAAAAGCATTAGTCCTTTTAATAAAATGGAAAAAGTTTAAACATTAATGAATCTAGCGTTATTTTCGTGGGCAGAAATACTAAACAGGAATCAATAAAGAGTGTTAAAATTGTTAAATTAGGAGAAATAGCTAAATAAGGAGCAAAAGAGGCTATGGAATCAACATAATTCCATTAGAAAAAGAGAAGTTAACCTGAAAATCAGAATGAATAAAGACTGTTACTGCCTGATATTAATGTTCCAATTTTTACCAAAACAAACTTTAATGTCACTCCTGTATCCTCCAATAAATCAAAGCTTGAAAAGTTCACTCCAAATACGATGGGTATTGAGACATTAAATTTTACAAGAGTACCAATGATAAATAATGTCTCAATAACTACTAAAAATGCTAAGAAGCAAAATTATAGTATTTTGGGTTTGGAAAAAATAGACAAGTTTCAAGTAGATGCATAAATGCAGACAAATGTATAAGATGACGAAAATACTAGTGACAAGAATGTTTAAATAGATTTTGATAAGATGAGTAATTAAATCAAGAAAAATTAAAGCAACTAAGAAAGCAATTTGATAGCATCCTTAAAACACAAAGATCAAAATTAAATATCTTAAAATAATGACAGGACTTAAAACTTTATGGGAGTTAAGCAACCTTAAGCTGTTGAAACTAAGCGAAAATTAAGGAAAACTATAAATCAGTAGGGATTGATTCTTAATCGTCATTCTTCTAGCAGTTAAGATGAATCTGACTATGGCTAAATAACTCAGAAGTATTTTAATGTGAAGGATATCATACTTAACAAGCCTAACTAATAGTAAGTTATGCAGTAAAATTCAAACTTAAAAACCCCAGACAATAAATAGCAAAAATAGTCGCCACAGCTTAACTAATAGAAATTTTAAACATAAACTCAATTTCATTAAACTTCTTAAGACACCTAATTTACTGGTTTTATGCAAAGGAGATCATCGAATCCATCAAAATAAAATGACACTAATCTTAATCTAACTTCATATAAAAATAAAGAGGTATTATCATCACCAAGTATGAATACAAAAAATGAAATTCTTATTTAAGATGAGTAAAAATAAAAAACTATTTAAAGCTCTACAATAAATGCACAAACTGATAATACTTTAGAAAAACAACTTAAAAAAATTACTTCAAATAAAGCTAAGATAATTTAAAGTGAAAAGATTTAAGCTATGATAAAGTCAAAATAGAATTCAATAAGTTAGAAGCGAATTGTATTGAAGAAGGATTAGATTGTCACTAAATACAAGCCTCCTTAAGTTGCAATAGAAGAAGAAACCTAAGAAGATGGTGGTTATACGACAAGTTATGAGGGAAGTAATGAAGGAGAGGATGATGAGGAGTTTTTATCACAGTAAGTTTCTGAAAGTGTTCAAAATAATTACAGTCAGAGTTAATTTGAATTTTAGTAAGATTAGAATTACAAGATTTGAAATAGACTAGAACAATATACTGCCCAATGATTTGGAATAATCATAAGCATTAAGAGAAGTCATAAATATAAAGTTGGCTTTTGCAAATATTTAACTAATTTAAATGATAAAGATTGATTAATTTCAAATTTAAATCTGAATTTTATGATTAATTTTTTAATAATAGGGGTTTTGGGGTTTTGGGG